TTGTATTGATGTATAAATTCCTCTGGCACTGACCGTTCCATTCAGATCTCTGTTTCTGTCTCACTCGATTTATCGTTCTGTCCGATTTTCCCTTTCGTTGAACCGCACTGCTGGAGTTTACGGGACATTTGATTAGGTGAAATATTTTAGATTTCAAGAAACAATCGTTTAAGATAGTAGGTACAAAAACATAACCTTTTTCCAGGTGGTAACTCCATTGTTGTTGAAAGCGCATCACGAAATAAAGTTGAAATACCGCGTACAGTTGTTCATTGCCAGAAGCAGCCAATTTAATCTATTTTGAATTCCACTTCTTTCTCGTCACATGGGCATCATCGATGCGAAGATATCACTGTGTCACTCAGTGGTCACGTGAATACAACTCAGTTTAAATGAGCAGCACGTCATTGTTTGTACACACCAGTCCTTCGGTTTGGTTGAGCGAAGTGCATCTCACCACTCCAAGCAAAATCAGTAAATCAGTGCACGGGCCACTTGCACGGACTGTGCCACCTAAGTTGCAAGCGCTCTCAGTCTTCCAGCCAAGTTTTTTAACTTTATCTCAGAGATGCAGTTCCATTTCTTTGATGATCAGCTGGGTTTCTCCGGCCTTTTGTGTGCAGACAAACATCCATTTCGGTAAGTTGCTGAATAGGAGCCACGTGTAGAAACAAATATCTAATAATAATCCAACTCCAAAGCATCTGTGAGTTCGACTTTGGCTAACGGATTGTTTTGCGTCTAAACCTGATATCCCTCTCTTTGTTCGCGTTCCTGCATTTCATCTGTCTGGTACACTGTATCGTGCCATTTTCAATTCGTGGGTGTGGTTGCTCAAGTGTTTAGGCGCGCAATTCGACACTCAAATGAGCTCCGGAGAGTATTAATTTTGATTCTAAAGTTACCTTCCATTGAGTTTTAGGGACCACTAGGGCTGTTATTACCTCTTTTGGAAATTCAGTCGATAGAAATAGTTATCTGAATCCCCTACCTCTTGTGAACATTTTGTTTTGAATTGCTTTGTGCGGTTTCTATTTCCGAGCCCGATCGTGATTTCCTTTTCCCCAAAAAACTGTCCTCGTTCACTTATTTTTCCATCATGAAATAACATATCACATGCTTTACGTCCTTAGTTTTACTCCTTCGATAGATTATTTTCCGATAGCTTTTCAGGTTATATTAGTTGTCTTCATCGTTTTTGTAGTTTCAATGGAGTAGTTCCGCATCCAGATACTCGTTAAGCTTAGAAATTAAGCAATACAATTAATTATACAAGTTCTTGTTTTAGTTTATGTGAGTTTACAATCATCAGAGTTTGTAGAATGATCTTAGACGCGATCATTACAAGCAATTGGACCGCCGGTGAATAGTGAAAAATTTACGTCGGCCGATATGCTCGTAGGCTACTGCTAGTCTACCACCAGCGAATTTGTACGCAAATGAGAGTGTCGCCATTTAGTGGGCATGAGAACGCTCACCTAGATGGTAACTTGTATGTGTAGGTAGCTATCACTTCGCTGAGTAAACGATTTCGTTCAATCAATGACAATGTTTCCACACATGCGTCTGGCGAGCAATATTTCTGTTATAAGCGATCGCAAATGTATTCAGAAATCAAAGTGGCATGCGTTTATCTGATCATTCTCTAACTAAGACCATCAACATATTACTTTACATTATATATATATATATATACTATATGTATGGGGTGCCCGGTTAGAGTAGCACCTCTGACTCGGAGGGCTGTCGGCCCCTTTGGGGCATCCCCATTCTTTGGTCTTCACCGGGTGCTCAGCTCTCACCTGTAGCTCCCAGAAGCTGTTTGAATGCAACAGCAGCCACACCCCGGTAAACCGCTCGACAGGCTGACCAAATCAGGTTGAGGGTAACCGGGGGCTCAACTCTCGGCGAGTCAGTGTGGGCGGACGAAGTCGGTTTCACGACTCAACGGCCGAGGCAATGACTCCGTTTTCACCAGGGATGCATGGACTCCTGTTCAACTGTAAAAATCAATGGCGTATGAGCTCCCACCACAGAGGGCCACTGGCAACCATGCGCTAACTTCCTACTGTCTTCCAGTTAGCACTTGGATATGCGAAGGCTAGAGATGCCACCTCGACCCAAAGCCAGGTGACGCTGGGGACGTTTCCTGTACCTAACTCCCAAGAAATTTCATGGATATTCACTCAATCTGTCTTGCTGATCATGCTACGGTGTTCCCGGAAAGCGACGCGCCCTGTGTTTCTCCAGTGGCTCGGGGGACAAGTGTGCGCACTGGACACCTTGAACTACAAAAAACTTCTTACCTTGGATCCTGGAACGTAGGAACACTCTTAGATGCTTATAGTCAGGCACTAACGATTCTTGCAATTGATGACTACCAGCTGGATATTATATGCCTATTAGAAGTCAAATAGGTAGACTCCGGCTCCAAAAGTATCAAAATCCTTGGTATCGGTAGCCAATACTGACTGCATCACAGCGGCAACGAAACGTCAAGTCAACACGGGGTGGCACTTGTTTTAAGCTATCCGGCTAAGAACGCTTTACTTTCGTGGAAACCGACGTTCTCTAGGATTGCAGTGACACGATTCAGGGGCCATCCAGTAAACCTCACAGTAATCGCTGTCTACGCCCCGACTCTCCCATCTGACATCAATGTTAAGGATGAATTCTATGGCAGCCTTCAATCGTTAGTTAATGAAGTACCCAAACGGGATGTATTTGTCATAGCAGGGGACTAGAACTCTCAAACTGGCCCACAAGAAGAGGCCACGAAGCACATCCTAAGGAGGTTTGGCCTGGGCGAGCGCTGCGAGAACGGTGACAGACTACTCAGCTTCGCCGATTATAATAATAATAATTATTATTATTACCAACACGCGGTTTCAACATCCAAAGAAACATCTTCTGACTTGGTATTCCAACAAGACCGAACAGCACATTAAATAGATAACGCTCTCATCCGTTCACGATGGGTTTCTTCGATTGAAGACTGTCGATCCTGTCGCGGGTTGAATGCGGGAACAGAAGCGGATCTGATCACGTACTAGTTCGCGCGAAAGTTAGACTCCATCTAACAAATCGCAGGAAGACCGTCCCCTCAAAACACCTAAATGTGCTTCCACTGAAGAACGGTGAGAAATGCCAGACACTCATAGGTATGATAACTGCGCAGCTGTCAAACGATCCCCTCGGTACGCATGGAAACAGGGAGTTCAGTTGAAACCCAGTGAACCACGATGAAGTCGTCAGTACAACAAGTCGCTCTACACGCACCAAGCACTGAAGGACTGGATATCTGACCACACCATCCAGTTAGCCAATGCGACCAGAGAGGCACGCCTAGCTCTATTCTCTGCTTATCGCGATCTCAGACGACAATCAACACGATCAGCCAGAAACGATAGATGCAACTACTGGAATGAAATGGCTGCAAAAATGGAGGCAGCAGCCAACCTGGGCAACACGGCGACCCTCTTCCGACTTCTTCGATCAGCATCGGGCAAGAAACAAGTCACCCAGTCTGTGTTGCGCAACGCCTCCGGCGAGCTCATTTCTGATGCGCAGGGAAGTGTCTCGATGGGTGGAACACTTTAGTCTTCTTCTCAGTCGCCCCCAAATCCTAATTCCGTATGCACTCTCCTCGCCATCTTCTCCATATGAAGCTAATTGTACTCCGCCATTAGTAGAAGTCTCAGATATCATCAGCCATCTCAAGCCCCGGAAATTTACCTGTGAGGACGGGATATCCCCTGAAATCTACGCAGTGTGCTTCAGCCATTTTAAACCCTCTTCATAGCTTACTGTGCGCCATCTGGGAAACCAAAATTTACCCACCTGACTGGACCACATCGATTTTACTACCTTTCCCTAAAAAAGGGGCAAACCAGTGTGCGAAAGCTACAGAGGCATCAGTATACTTGACGTGGCGGCCAAGGTTTTTGCACAACTTTTGCTGAACCGCTTTGCTGCAACAAGGCACGCACGCGCTCATTCTAATCAAAAGGGATTCCCCCCCACCCCACCCCGGTGTGGGCTGCGTCGATCAAATATTCACTCTACGTCGACTATTGGAACATCGCCACAAGTTTCAACAACCCACAGCAGTTTGCTTCATTGATTTTCGTGCGGCATTCCACTCCGTAGATCAACTTAATGAGATCTGACTATTATAACATTAGCGCCTGAATCCGCATCTACCGAGAGGCGTCATGCGCGTTCGGGTTAGGATCTGGAGTGCGACAGGGGTGCCCATTATCCCAAACACTGTTGAACTGTGCCGTTGACTGGATAATGGGTCGTTCGGTGGAAGAATACCAGGGAGTTCAGTTCTCTCCGAACTTATGGCTCGCCGACTTGGAATTCGTGGATGATATCGTCGTCTTTGGCGAGGACATGTCCAACCTCCAAGGAATCGTTGACCACATCAGTCGACAGGCCTCCGAGATCAGCCTAAAGGTGAACACATCAAAAACCAAAACCTTTGCGACAGTCCCGATTCATCCCGAAAATACTTTACTACTAAACGGCGAGCCGATCGAATCCGTCGAAAGCTTCAAATACTTGGGCTCAACCATACTCCCCAACGGCCAAGCTAAAGACGGGATGCAAGTACGCGTTGCTGCTGCAAGAAGAGCATTTTTACAGTTGAAGAATCCTCTTTGGCATAAAAATGAAATCATCCTAAAGACAAAAATCCGAGTTTTCTCCGCAGCAGTCCGTCCTGTTTTGCTATACGGCTGCGAAACCTGGC